CTTCTTGTGATCTTGATCATTGCTTTTAGAATGAAGCCAAGCAGTATGCTAAAATGGACTTTTATTTTCTGATTCAAAGAAAATCATCAAAGTAAAGTGCAATGCAAGTCCACACAAAGTATATAAGATGCAACGATACCGGCAACAATTTAGCGCACGCAACCAAAATTCATGCCATAAAATGGCATTAAAAAAAAACAGAGAGAGAAGCGAGGGAGTATGAACAAAATAGATTTTCAACAAGGCATGTAATATCCATGGAACAAATATAATGGCTTTCACTCTCAGGCAAGCCGTTTCAATCATATACCATCATTCCCACCAAGAAGATAATATAATTCAGGTCAAGTCTCATTCTAGTTGAATATTAGTCTCAAATGAACCATTAGTGGAGCTAATAGCATGAACCATTAGTGGTAACAAATAAGATCAACATTGAAACTGTAGCTAATACCATGAAAATAAAAATAAAAAATCACACTTTCTTGTGATCTTGATTATTGCTTTTAGAATAAGGCCAAACGTTATGCCAAAATAGGCTCTTACCTTCTAATTCAAAGAAAAAATCAAAATTAAAGTGAAATGCAAGTCCATACAAGGAATATAAGAGGTAAATACTAAATATATCAGCAACGATTTAGAAAAAGCAACCGCCGAAATATGACGTTAAAAAAAGAAGGGTTAATTTCACCTATACCCCCTGACGTTTGCCTATATTCCACACACACCCCATCTACATTTCATAATTTCACCTACACCCCCCTGTCAGTAAATTTGTGATTTTACTATTTTACCTTGAATTATATATTAAAATTAATAACTCAATGAAAAAGACTTTTAACTCCCTCAGTTTAAATTAAATTTCTCTCTCTCTCCTCTCTCTCTCTCACACACACACACACAGATATATATATATTTTTCCTTTCTTCTTCATCGTTGCCGGTGAGACCACCGAACTGAACTGACCTTCACCAGACTTGGGATCGCCGGACTGAACTGGGTCGAGGTAGCTGTGAACTTCGCCGCCGTTGTCTTTGATCCCGCTTACCTCGTTCTTGTCCAGCGTTACGACGGTGAGTACACGGCCGTAGATGCGACAGCGTTGAAGTCCAGCGTTTGGACTGAACTAAAGGATTCCTCCTTTTTCAGTCCGGCGAGCAGCGATTCAGTTATGCGAAACCCAATTCAGCGATTCAGTCATTCTCAAAGCTAGAACGAACTAAGTTCGACCAAACCCAGTTCAGCCCGGCGAGCAGAGATTCCTCAACCCACCTCGGTGAAACCCAATTCAAAACGGCCATAGACACGCCAGAGCTCTGTAGAAGAATTCGGCCTAGCTCTGTAACTTTGTCACCATCCGAACCATCACCATCACAACCCCAAGAATCTGATTCCATTCCTGTGAAGAAAAACGAAGTCAGATGTCGGCTCCTCCGCCTCCACCACCGCCAAATGGACGTCAATGCCGAAGAATCGAAGGCGAAGTCGATTGCGGAAGACGACGCTAAAGACCAAGTTGATGTCGGCAGCAGGTGTCGGATTACAACCTCTACGGCATCGCAATTAATGTCTCTCCACGTCGGATTACAGGCTCGATGGCATCGTAATCGGCGGCAAAAATCAGTGTCTCGTGCTCCGACGGGAGACCGGACCCAGCCTTTACAGCTTCTCCAACATTGCGCTGTTAATCAACATCGTCGGCACCGAAACCCTCAACCGTGACTTTCTGGTATATATATATATATATATATATATATATATATATATATATAATGGTATATAACATCACCTATATGGTGGCATGCACATTGCACAATTATTCAGGGGACAAAAAGTATCTTAAGTGGAGATTGGCCAGTTTACGCTTAGACTTTCTCTCTCTATTTAATCATTCGTTGGTTGGATACATGCATACATAGTGTGTGGATAATATCTATAGCGTAATAATCTTTTATTCATAAAATGAGTAAGAAATTCAACTACAGTTATATCGAATGATCATTATTCATGGATGAAATTTTTATTCATTGGTGATTAGCAGGACTATTATATAAGCCTTGACCCATGGGCAAATTGAAAAAATTAATTTAATTAATAATTTAAAAAGAAATTAAAATAAAATAAAATAAAATTTTTTTTAAAAAATTAATGGGTCTGTGTGAAAGGAAGAAGATGATATATGAATATATATGTCTATATATATATATATATATATATATATATATATATATATAGAAGTGAAAGGTAGGGTATTTCTTGAGTTAATTAAGGGTAGTTTTGTAATTGCGTATTGGTGAACTGAGGTTAAAGATGTCATTTTAGACATTAGAAGGTTAAAATTGACTTTTTAACAATTTTTTGATGTTGACATCAGCACACACCGTGAGTTGCTTAACGGCGGGGGTAATTTGCTATACAAACCAAAACCTTAAGGAAGGTCGGTAGAATATTGAAATATAGGGGGGTGTAAGTAGAATATGGGCAAACGTCAGGAGGTGTGGTTGGAATTAACCCAAAAAAGAATTAGAAAAGAAATGGACTATGAACAAAATACATTTTCAACATGGTATGGAACAAAAAAAAATGGCTGTCTTTCTTCATGCCAACCACTTCTATCATATAAAATCATTCCCATTAAGAAGAGAATATAGGTATTAATCACTCCCATGAACATTGAAAATGTAGCTAATGTTCCACTAAGTCATCTAAAACCTACTATTTCGTTGATACCACGAAATATGTTCAAGTATGGATCACATAAGGTGCTGAACAAGAAATACCATCGAGATTATCAATGTCTATAGGTTCTGATCAAACGAAAATTTTAAAGCAATCACGACTACACCGCATCATTATAAGACAAAAAATGAATACTGGCAAAAGGTTGTTGACCTAGTTCATGCATTCTACAATTGAATACTGGCTAGTTGAACATGATGGCAGAACACCGGTACCAACGTTCTAATAAGTAATACCAGTTTTGACACTTGCAAATATGGTTGTTAAAATCCTGATTCGAATCTTATGATCCTACAATTTTGTGATTCAAATGTATCAAATTGATTCTGATCCCGCAAGAAACCCAGTAGGATAGAAATTAGAATTTATGCTTAATCCTTGTAAAATCACAAGAATCACAAGAGATCTTGAGTTGCATCCAGATTTGCTGAACCTGCTTTACAACCTTATAATGTGACATTTGTATTCTTCTTTTTTTTCCTTGGTAAGAAACTCACACACCCATTTGTCCCTATGGGGGTATTTTTCTTTTTTTTCCTTGGTAAGAAACTCACACACCCATTTGTCCCTATGGGGACTTGAACCCTCCTCACCTACCACTTTGGAAGGTAGAGGAGATACCACTAGGACTTGTAATCATTTTTAATAAACAAGGTTCTGAGACTCAAATAATATTACAAAACAAACACCAAAAAATCCACTTAAATGGCCTAAATAATACAACAATGTCTAATCTTTTTTATTTATTTATTTTTATTTATCATTTTAACTCTACAAAGATTCTTGTTATCTGCTTTAAACTAGTAAAATAGTCAATTACTTTAACACCTGATTAGACCGTTAACTAATATGGACTCAAAATTGTTTCCTTTCCCTTATTCATTTTTCTTTTTAGTTGATTATTTTGCTATGACGTGTGGTGGAAAGTGGGACAAATTTTTGCTTCACACAATCAACTTCAAATTCCACCTCTAAAACTAAGTTAGTTTGCTTCAAACCGATGGATCTCCTATCTTCACTTATCTCAGTACTCATTTTTTTTTTTTTTTTTTTTTGAGCCTATGTTATAGGCTTTGTTGCAAAATCTTTCATGTCAAGTAGACCAAGAATTTCAAAACGTAGTTTTGTATTTTCATATGTAGTTTTGTATTTTCATGCAATGTATGTTTACATATAAATGATTATTTGTGAACTTATTTTCATCTTAAGTTCTACATTCAATATGATAAATTGCTTTTATTATTAGTTAGTGCTATGTAATTTGGAGGCTCTTATGCCAATAATTTTTTTGCTTTTGTGAGGGTAATGTGTTACAAAATTATTAGACGGAGCTTTTGTAAGTTTATGCACTCTAAATATTTATCTTAATTCTTTTCTTTTCTTTTTTTCATGAAATTTAAGATTGTTCATGGTGTATTCTTAAGAATTTTCGAGATGCACAGATAGAAATATTACAATTTTTATTGGAATAGACTATAGAGTAAGATTCCATTATGTTGGGCTATGATCTTCTTGAGGAGCTCACTCCATACCATTCTTTTAGGTAATACTCTGATGGCTCAAGTATAGCAGATTTTGGCAGCAGTGTTGTCATTTATTTTTAGTTGCTCTTTTAGTTTATTTTGAGGACTATTGTAATTTTGTTTTTGAACTTGATGTGGTTGGATCATGGTCAGGCTTTATTATCAATTCTTTCATATTACGAACTATGATTTCGATATAGAATTGTCTACATTAGAAAACACGTTATTTGTCTGCGTGTGGTTTGTGATTCAAGTTCACGCCCTTAATTCAGAATAGGACGAGGAATCCTTATGTTATAGATTGAGGCGTGGCAATTTTGATAAGTGAGATGCACGAATATTATTCGAGTATTATTCTTCTCATTTTGTATAATCTTTACTATCCAATCCTGAAAACCCTCTCATTAACCTATTTCAACAACTTTACTAGCAAGTTATAAGTAAGTTAACACTTAGTAGCAAAACTCGAAGGTACAGAAAACACATTTTTTCACCCATGAGCTACCTTAGTGATTTTAAGATCAAGTGGTGGGAAAGCAACCGGCCAAGGTAGATTAGAGCTAATACATATAAAGTTTCTGATGATCTTACACAACACAAACTGGCCACAACCCTCAAAAAAAAAAAAAAAAAAAAAACAATATTTCATATAATTAATTCGCAATTGTAAACTACTGCATCAAAAAGCCGCCAAAGTCATGTTTACCAAATGTAAACTTCAAAATTTTAGTGGCATACCTGAGTGGGCTAACAATGGCTGGAGGAGAGTTAGGGAACCAGGTTAAAACAAGCCTGACAACCAATAGTGTATTGTAAATATTCAAGAAATTCAGAATGCCATTAGTCACCACAATCCCAGCCACAGAATCGCCTGGTATAATGGCAGCAAAATTGTGATTGGCCATGGAATTCAAATTTCTGTAGTTTCTGCGACGAATCTGAATATAAAGTTCAATTAAGTATGTCAATTAAGCAAACAAGAGAACTTCATCATAAATGTAGAAGTATGAAAAAAGCGCACAGTATTTATCAAGGAAATACTGCACAAAACTTATAAAAATCATCATGTGATTGCCCAGACACTTTTCCAAGGTGTGTTTTATGGTCTCACATGGATCTCCCTGATCTCTTTGGCATGCATAATTTTCTTTTTTCTAATCTTTGCATTTCATTGCAAAGTTAACCTAAGAACTGGATCCGCGATCTTCCACGTTATGATTCCAGACACTGTATATATGTTCCTTATCGATGCTTCTTAACCATCAAGGTATGCTTCTTAACCATCAAGGTGCACTTCAATGCTAATGTGATTCTGATACTGATAATGACGGAAATTGTAATAATAAATATGGTGGTTATAAATAGTGAATTTTATTGTTAAGTGATGCATATAACATATAAAGAATTAATAAACAATTCTTTATGGGCATGGCTAGTCCAGTGCACGATGCTCCCACCATTACGGGATTTGGGGAGGGTCAAATGTACGCAACCTTTCCTCCGCATTCGAAGAGGCTGTTTCAGTGACTCGAACTTGTGACCTCCACGTCACAATGGAGCAACCTTAAGGAAATGACAAAAGAGATCGCCCTCAAATTGGATGGCAAGTCAAATTGATACTGCCTTTAAATATTTTCCTATTTATCAACTCAAAAACTCAACAAAACCTTATATTCCAAAAACTTGGAGTTGGGTTACACATGGAATTTTGTCATACAGCTTTATTAGGGGCTTTCCATTCTCATAAATCACACTTCATCACATACTTTCTCATCAGGGGATAAAAAGAATCACATCTTTTCTACTCTATCCGACATCCTTCTGGTCTTCATCTTGACCTTATCATTCCTTTCAACTTAAATTGTACCTATGGTCCTTGTTCAATTGGTGACACTTCTAGTTTGAAGTCTAGTATATATGAGGAAATAAGAAAAATTATATTTTTATTAGGTCATTAGAATTATATATTACAATTGTTCATGAATCCACTCTACATAAGGGCGTCTCACCCAACTGGGTGGATACCAAATGAACTAACACTCATCTTCTATAATTCATCATTAGAACTGACAAGCTACCCACAATAAAATAGCAGGATTCAACTCCTAATTCTTAATAAACAATTAATATTAAACAGATAATAAACAAAATAAACGCAACTTCGGAAATGCACATACATTATTCATTTTTCTTAAAGACCAAACTATTATAATACCTAGTTTCCTATACTTAAAACCATCCTACATAGACATAAAAAATATATATATAAATACACACATACACAGACACAAACACAAACCGGATGAGAGAGATACCTGGGAGAAATTGTGGAAATGGGAGGAGAAAAAAAGGAAGATTTTGTCGAGAAGTGGGTTTGGGGAAGCGAATGTGTCTAAGAATGTGAGGCAATTCTCAGCAGTGGATACGATAGAGCTATGGAGATGACGAACAATGTTTACATTGAATTGGAGGTTGGGTTTAGAGTGAGAGGACTGCGTGAAGAATTGGGGAAGGAATGGGGTGTGAATAAATGGGGAAGAGAGTAGGAGTAGACTGTTGTAACCGAACCCGTTGGCCATGGATTTCTGCTGCTGCTGCTTTGAAGAAGAAGAAGAAGAAGAAGAAGAAGCGTCCATTTCTTTCTGTGCTTTGGCGCAAATGGATAGAAAAAGAGAGCCCACTGTTTTCTATATCACCTATTATTTAGAGGAGATTGGGATATGGATCGGAAAAGGAAAAAAAAATTAGATATTTTTTTTAATCAATACTACTTGTTGACGCGCTCCCCACGTAGTAGACCTTCTGTGCGTGTGCCTGTGTGTGATAAAATTGAAAATTTGAAATTCTAACCCATTTCTCAATTTAGTATGTCCACTGTATAAAAGAATATAAATATATTTGTATTGCATTTTTAAAAATTTATTGTATCATATATACATATATATATATATATATATATATATATTTTGTATCGCATTTTTAAGAATTTGTTGAATCATTGTACTTGTGTGCGCTATTTATGTATGAAAGAAGGCACCCTTTAACATTTTTTATTTTTTATTTTTATTTTTATGTTGTGAAAGTAAAAAAAAAAAAAAAAAGTTTTTGCATTTTTAACCAATTCATTTTGTCAAAATGCATATTTTTTTGCTAGAACATTTTTTGGGTAAGTATCTAACTGAGCTATATAACCTATGCCAATGTACGTTCAGGCTCAACCAATTCCAAAATCAAATTTTCTCCATTCTTTGTAAAGCTTAATTTACAAGCATCAATTGTTTTATTTAATTTTTCTTTGGTCTTTTTTCAGCTTCAGAAGTCCCAAACTTGGTTATGTATCTCTACAAGAATTATATACAAGATGGAGAAGACTAGAAGATAGAATGATAACAAATAATGCAAATTTGGTATCTACAACGATAAAAATACTATTTATGATGCACCAGTTATACAGCATCTTTGGTATGCCCATTCATCTCCGTTTAGGGGTACCTATAAAGATAAGTGATACAGGTCAAAGAAATCTTGGAGCAGATGAAAAATATGTATCATCCAATAAAACTTATCTTAGTATGAGAAGGGCAATGATAACATCCCGACATTCGTCTATCCGAGTATCTCACACAAGAACTTATTGAGATGTTGCCTTCCAGAGGATCATTATATAACACAAAAAGTGAGTTTTGAAAAACTCCAAGAGACATATAACGTAACCACCTTGGTAGCTCCATAGAGGAGAAAACCTTGCTAACGGTTAACGACCACCGGGCTCGGAAATCCAGTGGATAGTCCCATTGAGAGAAGCATGAGATGAATCAAAACGGATACAGGGTATGGTACCAGAAACACTAATTCTTGTCCAACAACCCTCTTTAAGAGAATAAATGTCAACCTCAAGGTCACTAGAAACATAAGCAATTGTAACCACCTGATAGTCATTAGTTGTGGAATCGAATCCGAATCCAAAAGCAAGATCAAAACATAAGCAATTTTGGTAAAAGATTACGAAATTATTTTTAGTGATGAGAGAACATTATGATTTGCAGACGCACATGATTTGCATAAGTATTCTCACCGGCAGTCTTAGAGTTTTTAATTATTGAATTACAAATATGCCCCCAAACGGGTATGCATAGAATTATGAAACAATTATTTTGACAAGATGTATCGATTATTAAAAGTAATTAATACCATACTATAGGGGGAGCGCCCCAGTGAGAATATCATATAATTTGCACTTATAATAAAGATAGATAGATAGATACAATTTAGAGAGAGTGCAATCCAATTGTTCTCAAATTTGCAAACTTGAACAACAACATTCCTTACGTAATTGTCAGACTATTAAATTGACCCATTTAAATCATTAAAGCATAGTATTAACATTTATAAGTCTTTTTATTTGACCAAAATGACCATTTGACAAAAAAAAAAAAAAAAAAAAAAAAACCACCAAACTCCACCACTGTGATTGCCAAACAAACAAGGGTGGAGCCAAGAATTTTTAAGGGGGTAACTAGTAATGTAAAATTAAAATTTTAAAATAATATAAAATCATTATAAGAAATTTTTTTCTTTACATGTTTAATTCGCTCGCTAAAATAGATGAATTAGTTATATTATCTAATAGTTAAACAAAATTCTAATACAAAACTCTTATTTTGCATTTCAAAAAGTAAGAAATATGATTTTTAAATATATTTTTATTATTATTCCGTAGTAATATATTAAATATTAAAAGACCATTTTTAATAGTAATATATTAAATATCACCTTCAAGTAATCACACATAAACTAATCTTTTTATTTCTTAGTGTTTACTGAAACATTATTTACACAACATGTCACATTTTTCTTCTACAAAAACAAAGAAAGAAAAAAAGAAAAAAGAAAATAACAGGTCACAATGCAATCATATTTATTTTTTCATTCTTAAGGGCCATTTTGGTCAATTAATAGGAGATTATAAAGGAAATTTAATATTTCACATGGGTCAATTCAGAAGTCAAAGACAGATACAGATACGTACTTTTATCATATTTTATGTTTGAGGTACCAAATCCGAAAGATGTCATCATCTAAAAAGTGTTGAAGTTGTAGATAATTGAAGTTGTAGATAATTGTTTTTAATCCACAACGTGGGAGGGGCTATACAATTAGTAGGCTTGATGATTATTCTAAGGGTAAATTTCACTTAAGCGTTGGTCATACAATGATGTAACTAATTTTTTAAGTTGCTACAAAAATTATTCAAATTTTGTTATAAAATCTTTGATGAAAAACCACAATATATCTTTCGTACATTAGGAATTGCATGACAGAATGTCACTTATTATTAATATTTTTTAACCCAGGTGAATGAGTTGGCTCAAATCCAACCAAATTACAACAATAATCAAATTGGTATTATAAAAAGTCTTCATTTAAATCCACAACCCAATTAACAACCCAATTAACGTTAATTGATTGATGATTATTTGTTTCTAATTTTTTGTACCATAATATTTTATGAAAAAGGTGATGATATTGATGCTCCAAAATTCAACCTAGCGATCCACTTTCTTTTATTATTAATTGTAGTGAAAATTTTACACTCCTACATCGATCTCCTTAAATTAAAAAAAAAAAAAAAATGTCGTCAGTAAATTTTTTACCTATTTTACTTGGCCTTGTTTAAATTAACAGAAGAAGAGATGAGAGATCTGATCCAATAGAAAAATCTTAATTTATGATAGTATCACAGACCAAAAAGTTGCAGGATAAATGGTCTTTCGTTTTTGTTATTTTTTATTTCTCAACTAAAGAAAAAAAGAAAAAAAGAAAAAAAAAAAAAAAAAAAAAAGGTTAGAGCAAAACATAAGTTATTATATTAGGCTTGGAGGGGTGAGAGCGCAAAGCTGTCAATTTATTAGATTTTTTTATTTTTTGTTTTTTTGTCTTTAAGGCGGCGAACCTTTATTAATATATTTTTTTTTTGTCTTTAATTTTTAAATTGGAGGCGGCGAGGCGTACCTTTATGGTAAGTAAGTTGCCTATAAAAGGGCCCTCATTATCTATAGGATTTTAGGTTTTGTAAAGAACGAAGGTTCCAAGAATTCAGTCAAGCGGCGGCTCTCTCTGGCCCGCAGGTACGATCAGTCTAATTTCTCAGAAGTTTGATCTCCGTTCTGCCGTGGAAACTTAGTTCATCGCGTTGATGCCCAGAAGCATTACGAAGCCTGTCAAAAGGAGAGAAAAAGATATGGAAGAAATTTTGATTGGTTATAAGTTTCTTCCAACCGACAGTGAGTTGATTCAGTATCTTGTGTGCAAGGCGAAGGAAGAAGCCCTACCATGGGAGGGTGTTGTGAAGGACTGTGACGTTTATGGCAAGGAGCCCTCAGAGCTTTTTGAGGGTTCGGAAGAGAATGTTCTTTATTTTTTCACCAAGTTGAAGAAGAAGCACGGAAACGGGTCGAGGATTGATCGTGTGACGGCGACGATGGGTACATGGAAGGGGCAAGACAAGGCTAAACCTATAATAAAAGATGTCGATGGTACTACTGGTACCGGTGAGGGAGATGATCAAGAAACTGGCTTGATAGGAAGGAAGAGAACTTTTACCTATAGAATGAAATCGGATGCTAAGGCGGCGAAGGCCAAGAGTGGATGGAGCATGACTGAATATAATCTTGACGGCACTAATCTCCAAAGAGCAAAAGTAAGTACAGTGTGTGTGTGTATATATATATATATATGTCTCTTATATTTTTTTTTTATCTTTTTAGAATTCAACAGTCTCTAAATAGTGATTTGATATGTTACTCAGGTCAAAGACTATGTAATTTGTCGAATTAAAAGGCAAAAGCAGGAAGAAATTAAGTTGGAATCCCAAGTTAAGGTGATGCAAGCGGAGGAGTGCAAAGTGACAGTAACTCCGGCACTTGAAGACTGCAATACCATCACACATGCAATGGAACCCATATTACAAGACTGCAGCAACCTCATCACAGAAGCAATCGAATTTGATGGAACAACAGTACTAACGCAACCAGAAGAAGAAGAAGATTGCATGGATTGGTTGAACGATTTTGACTGCAGCAACCTCATCACACAATCAATTGAATTTGATGGAAAAACAGCACTGATAGAAGCTGAAGATTGCAGCAACCTCATCACACAAGCAATTGAATTTGATGGAAAAACAGTACTAATGCAAGCTGAAGACTGCAGCAACCTCAGCACACAAGCAATTGAATTTGATGGAAAAACAGTATCAACGCAACCAGAAGAAGATTGCAATTGGTTGAACGATTTTGCTACACAACTCTTCCAGAATCAAGAACATTTAGGAGACAGTGAAATACTAATGTTGCCCAACATTTTTTATGCAGATAGTTGGTCCCTCTCAGCTTGATTTAGATTGTCTACAATCAACTAGTGTACCCTGCTTTTAACTGTGTTTGGGTTATGTGTGTAACTTTGTGCAAAATTTTATAAGTACATGAAGATAAATTGATTGTCAACCTTTAATTAAATTTTATCGAATATATTCATGTGTATGTGTGAGAGATGGGGTTTCACAAGGCTGATAGAATGAAATAATGGCAAGGGATAGAAGGCTTAAACCAAACCAGTCTCTACCAGTGAACAATTAGAAGGGAGGAAAAGCTGAAACCCTTACCATAACCTTTGAAAAGGTAATCACCAAATTTAAACTATTAATGTTAATTTTGACTATTAATCAAATTTAAAATGCCTGCCCGCCACCTTCTTCTTTTTTCATTCGCTAGGTAAACAGATTAAAAAAGCAATCAAATTGTTCCACCAAAGTTATATGGAGGCAATATATGACTTTTATTGAAGTTAAGTTGTTTATTCCAAAATGGACAAGCAAAGCCAAAGGCATAATACAAAGCTACCCACCAGAAATCCCAAAAGAAACCCCAAAGTAGAGGAAGCAAAAAAACCTGCTGCAACTGACCTCAGTCCTCGGTAAAATGAAGAGGACACCATCAAGAACTGGAAATCACCTTTTGTTCCCGTTCCACTGATATAACCTTTCGTTCAGCTTCCACTGATATCACCTTTTGTCCTGATTCCATTGATATCACCTTTCCTTTAGCTTCCATTGATATCACCTTTCCTTTAACTTCCATTGAACATATCAAACAAAAAAAAATTATCATACCAAGTCATTTTTTTTTTTTTTTTTTTTTTTCAAGTTGCTTGATAGAAGAAAAATATATAAATTTGGATAGCAGAACATAGTAATAATATAAAAATCAACAACTATTTGTGTTGTATATATATATGAATCTTTAATTTTTTAAGTTAATGCAGTTAGGCAAAAGAGAAAAACACCTTAAATCAGGTTACAGGAGTGGTATTGTTTTCTTAGTTATATCTAGTTACAGTTTTGGAAAGAATATGTATATATATACATAGTTTTAGGGTTTTTGAAGACAAGGGCAGTAGATCGAGTGTATTTGGATTAATGAGGGTTAATCTTCAGGAATTAATTTAGGGCTTTTCTCCTTTAGCTCTTTTATTATTCCAGTGTTTTCAAAAACGTTTCTACAAGTCGTGTTTGGAGGGAGAGAAAATTGGAGTTTCTTAATGTTGAGAGGAGTGTTGATGAAGGCTATGTAGTAACCTCTTTGCTTTATTTTGAAGGCCAAGGCCAAGAAGGGTGTCGTGTTCTTTTGCAGTGGTGGTGGTGAATTGGGTGTGATGTTTCTGGGTTTGTTAATGTGAGAGGAAGGTCATTTTGGTACATTGGTGTTAATAGGTCACGGATGGATTGGTAACTGTATATTGGTAAGTGAGGTTAAAAATGTCATTTTAAACATTAGAAGGGCAAAATTGACCTTCAAACAATTTTCTCATGCTGACATCAGCATAATCCGTCAAGTACTTAACGGCAGGGGGCAATTTGCTACATAATTCAAAACCTCAAGGGAAATAGGCTGATTTAACTTCAAGCTGTTCCAACTTAGATTTTTTATTTTGTAATAGTATTATTATTATTATTATTATTATTATTATTATTATTATTATTATTATTTATAAGTTATCTATTTTATTCAAGAAAACACAGCACAGAATTGAAATGGGCAACCCCCAATAGTACAAACAATAACTAACCACAGCACAGCACAACAGCAAACCAACAGAAAGAATCAAACATTCCAGAAAGGGATGTATCCAACAGTATGCCTGTTGAATCTAGTTGCAGGAAAGGACAACATTTTAAGTCTAATAGAGTGGTAATTTGAAGAGACGCAGAGAATTCATCCAAATAAGAATTAAAGTATCTTCCAGAGTTTGTTTCTCTCCAAATCATGTGGAGATTTTGCAAACTTGATGGTACCAATTCCTCTTAGACTGACACTTGTGATTGCTCCATTCGAGAATCTCGAACAGCAATAGCAACAGACTCTTAGATCAAGGCATACTGACTTATAAAGAATAGATTATGAACACTTTCAACATTCCTTCTGCAAAGGATATATCGGTCTGATTGAGACATACATCATTGAAGGAGCTTGTTCATAGTGCTTAGTGTATCCTTAGCAGCAAGCCAGAGGATGAAACAGTGCTTTGGAACACCTCCCTTAAATCAAACAGCCCCACAAGTTATGGTTGAGTCTGACATCTTCATAAGCATCCTTAACTGAGAAGGGCTTATTGGAGCTGGACCAAACAACATCATTATTCCCTATCCTAGAAGGTACAGAGAGTTTGAGCAACCAAAGAACCAATATCCCAAATATTATCTCGCATGCAATTCAGGCCATTCCCACCCTCTATCAGATATAATGTCAGCCAACTTGAGCATCTTTAGGAATACCTAAGTTGAAAACTCTATGACCCTCTGAAAGAACAATAGCGCCACGTGAAAGCCAAGAATCAAACAATAAGGAGGTGTTCTGGCCTGAGTTACTACATAACCCATATGAAAATATAAATCACACCTTGTTGTGATCTTGATTATTGATTTTAGAATGAGGCCAAACATTATAGTAAAATAGACTTTTATTTTCTGATTCTGATAAACGCATCAAAGTTAAAGTGCAATGCAAGTCCACACAAAGAATATAAGAGTCAAATGTTATCTGCAATGATTTAGCGCACACAACAACAAATTCATGGCAGAAAATGGCATTAAAAGAAAATAAAATAAAAGGGAGTATGAACAAAATACATTTTCAACAAGGCATGTAGAAGCTATTGAACAAACAAACTGGCTTTCTCCCTCCATGCTACCAATTCTATCATATAAAAATCATTCCAGGTAAGAAGAGAATATAATCCAGGTCAAGTCTCATACGAAATGAAAATCAGTCACAAATGAACCATTAGTGGAGCTAAGTACATCATCACTCTAAAGTGTTAATTGCATCCCTGTCCAAGTAGTGAAAGCAACTGAGGTAACAACAAAATCAACATTGAAACTTTAGCTAATACTCCACCTAGTAAGACACCTAAAACCTACTACTCTTTACTAGTAGAGATACATGACCACAAACTTTATATTGACCATGACCACACAGATATGTCATTAAACTAGCATTTGACATTCATATACATGTCATGCAGGAAGGACTACTAATAGGATTAAAAAAAAGTGGGGTACATATATATATATATATATATATCTTGCCTGCTCTTTCTATTGTTTCTTGGTTCTTATAATTTTCTTGGTTCCTCCAACTCTGCTCTTGGTGCCTGCAACAGAGAAGAGCGTGCTTGCTCACCGAAGCCTCCATGTACTTTGTCAATTAGCACTAAGCTCTCTGTGTAAACATTGACACAAAATGCCTCATCATATCCACGCATCCCAACATTCTTGAACTCTTGAGTCTTAATGTCAACTGAAACCATCTCCTCATCTTTAGTCAAAAGAACTTCACCATTCCTCTTCCAGCCAATAACTTTCACAGAACCTTCTCTATCAAAATCAAGACCAAACAGATTGGTCCACGACTCCACAGCACCATCCTGTTTCATCATCCAGATTGATACTTTGCCATAATAATCATTCTTGAACACAAAAACTGAGTCTTGAAACACTGCAATAGACAACCTACGTGGTGCCTTTTTATAAACTAGACTCCTTGGTAGCTCCATCAAAGAGAATACCTGAGTACCCAAAGTGAATGTCACAATGAACGGGCCAGGAAAATTACCACCTCCGGAAAGCCAATGGATAGTCCCATTGAGAGAAACTTGAGATGAATCACAACAGAGAGGGAGTACAGGACCAGAAACACTAAGGTTTCTCCACCATCCCTCCTTAAGCGAATAAATGTCAATCTCAACAATGCTATCATAGAGGTAAACAATTCTAACCACTTTATAGTCATTGTTTGTGGAATCTAATCCGAATCCAAGAGCACACTGATAAAAGCCGTGCGAAAGGCAGTTAATGCGAGGTTCTGGAACTACTACAAATTTCCTAATACTGGGGTTCCACAGATATCACCCTCAAATTGGATGGCAAGTCAAATTGATATTACCTTTAAATATTTTCCAATTTATCAACTCAAAAACTCAACAAAACCTTATATTCCAAAAACTTGGAGTTGGGTTACACATGGAATTTTGTCATACAGCTTTATTAGGGGCTTTCCATTCTCATAAATCACACTTCATCACATACTTTCTCATCAGGGGATAAAAAGAATCACATCTTTTCTACTCGATCCGACAGCCTTCTGGTCTTCATCTTGACCTTGTCATTCCTTCCAAACTTAAATTGTACCTATGGTCCTTGTTCAATTGGTGGCATTTCTAGTTTGAAGTCTAGTACATATGTGAACATTTCCACTTTTTTTTTTTTGCCCTTAAGGAAATAAGAAAAATTACATTTTTATTAGGTCATTATAATTATATTTTACAATTGTTCATGAATCCACTCTACATAAGGGCATTTCAAACCTAGGCCTACTGAATCTCACCCAACTGGGTGGATACTAAATGAACTAACGCTCATCTTCATTATTCATCATATAGAACTGACAAGCTACCCACAATAAAATAGCAGGATTCAACTCCTAGTTCTTAATAACCAATTAATATTTAACAGATAATAAACAAAATACACACAACTTCGGAAATGCAAATACATTATTCATTTTTGTTAATGACCAAACTATTACAATACCTTGTTTCCTATACTTAAAACCATCATATATAGACATAAAATATATATATATATATATATATATATAGATAAATAAACACATACACATACACATACACATACACAAACCGAAAGAGAGAGATACCTGGGAGAAATTGTGGAAATGGGAGGAGAAGAAATGGAAGATTTTGTCGAGAAGTGGATTTGGGGAAGCGAATGTGTCTAAGAATGTGAGGCAATTCTCAGCAGTGGATACGATAGAGCTATGGAGATGACGAACAATGTTTACATTGGATTGGAGGTTGGGTTTAGAGTGAGAGGACTGCGTGAATAATTGGGGAGGGAATGGGGTGTGAATAAATGGGGAAGAGAGTAGGAGTAAACTGCGTGATTTCTGCTGGTGCTGTTGCTTTGAAGAAGAAGAAGAAGAAGAAGCGTCCATTTCTTCCTGTGCTTTGGCGCAAATGGCTGTTTTTTATTTCACCTATTATTAAGAGGAGATTGGGATATGGATGGAAAAAAATAAAAAATAAAAAATTAGATTTTTTTTTTTGTTTTTATCAATACCACGTAGTAGACCTTCTGTGCGGGTGCCTCTGTGTGATAAAACTGAAATTTTGAAATTCTAACCCATTCCTCAATTTAGTCAATGAATTTTTTATTCTTTTGAATAGACACAAGTTTGAATGCCCACTGTATAAAAGAATATAAATATATTTGTATGGCATTTTTAAAATTTTATTGTATCCTCTATATATATATATATATATATATATATATATATTTGTATTGTATTTTAAAGAATTTATTGTATCATTGTACTTTTATTTATGAAAGAAGATAACCTTTAACAATTCTTTTTATATTTTTAAATTACAAATTAAGCAGGCTCTAATTTCACAACAATAAAAATATATATTTTTACATTTTTAACCAAATCATTTTGTCAAAATACATATTTTTTTGCTAGCTTGCCCCACTAAGCACATTTTTTGGGTAACAATCTAACCGAGATATATAATCTATGCCAATGTACGCTGCTCAACCAGTTCCAAAATCAAATTTCCTCCATTCTTTGTAAAGAATTTACAAGCATCAATTGTTTTATTACTTCTGCTGTCACATTTGAATTTGCGTGTGAGTAGGGTTTGAATTTAGTGTTTGGTCTTTTTTAAGCTTCAGAAGTCCCAAACTAAGAATTATATACAAGATGGAGAAGAGTATAGAATGATAACAAATAATGCAAATTTGGTATCTCCAATGATAAAAATACTATTTATGTTTTACCAGTCAAACCGCATTTTTGGAATGCCTAGTCATCTCTTTTTAGAGGTACCGATAAAGATAAGTGATAGGGATCAAGGATATCTTGGAGCAAATGAAAAACATGTATCATCCCATTAAACTTATCTCACCTTCTCATAGAAACGGCAACGATTGCATCCGGACACTCGACTATCTCACAAGACTGTGAGCCCTCACCACAACAGCTGTGGTGACGACCATACCCACGTGCCATCAAGTATAGAAATTTTCTCATATAAAATGCTTTCAATAAGTTGATGCGGTAAATTTTTATTGAATAAAAATAATTATGACATGATATAGTGACACACCCAATAAGGGCATACAATTTTTAATCAAGAGGGAGTTAAAAATTGGGATTTATCTGTGAAGAACCCCAAATACCATATTATCCTCTCAAGTCTGAGCAGTTGGGATCTTTTTCCCAATTGCTAAACTTGAGCTCATTTTTTCGGACTTTCAATCTAATTTCAAGCGAGTTTGAATAATGGGCTTAAAATTAAATATTTTGATTCTATCTAGATAGAATGAATGCCTAGACAAACACAATGGAAAATAAATAAAGATAACAAATTTAGACTGCTCTGATATACAGCTATGTAACACATCCTTACAAGATGATATCTGAGATGAAAGGCAAATACAAACATAAGTTTATATATTGGAAGAGTTTTTACATTTTTGAAATAATTAAAAAGAAAGGACCTATCCTGGGCTACCATTCCTGAAAGGTACAAAGGTCATAACTGCAGCTTAGTTCCAAGATTTGGGAAACAAAATTTGCAACTAGATAAAGAAAACAATTACTGCATACCCCACATGAAAATATAATTCACATCTTCTTGTGATCTTGATTATTGCTTTTAGAATGAAGCCAAGCGGTATGCTAAAATGGACTTTTATTTTCTGATTCAAAGAAAATCATCAAAGAAAAAGTGCAATGCAAGTTCACACAAAGTATATAAGATGCAACAAAAATTCATGCCAGAAAATGGCATTAAAAAAAAAAAAAAAAAAAAGGAGCGAGGGAGTATGAACATAATAGATTTCAACATGGCATGTAAAATCCATGGAACAGATATAATGGCTTTCCTTCTCCATGCAAGCCATTTCTATCATATACAATCATTCCCACCAAGAAGAGAATATAATTCATGTAAGCAAAAAGTTAAAAAAAAGCTTGTACATTTCTGACACAATTGCTTATTTGTCCATTGGTGATTGGTCCAAGACCATGTGATAACTTCTCAGTGATTATATGGTGCGTGCTCTTTTTCTATTGTACATTGGTTCTTCTAATTTTCTTGGTTACTCCAACTCGGTTCTTGGTGCCTGCAATAGAGAAGACCTCCCACTCGGTTATTGGTGCCTCCAATAGAGAATACTATGCTTGCTCCCCAAAGCCTCCATTTACTTTGTCGATTAAGACAAAGCTCTCTGTGCACAAAATGCATGTCCATGTACTCCAAGATACTTGACCTTTTGAGTCTTATGTCAACTGAAAGTAGCCTCATTTCTTGTAAGAACAACATCGCCATTCCCCTTCAAGCCAATAATAACTCTCACATAAGCTCCTCTACCAAAATCATCAGAATTGAACAGATTGGTCCACGACTCCACAACACCGTATTGTTTCATCGCCCTGATTGAGATGTTGCCTTCCAGAGGATCATTATGCAACACAAAAAGTGAGTCTTGAAAAACTCCAAGAGACATAAAACGTAGCCACCTTGGTAGCTCCATGGAGGAGAAAACCTTGCTACCCAAATTGATGTTAGGAATTATGTCTCAAATTCCCATTATTATTAGTTTCTATTTTAGAGTGTAATTTTATGGTAATTTCTTATAGAGACGTGAATTGGGCTCTAAGAAATTGTAATCCTTGTCCACAAAGGAATTGGGTATGTGACTCTATAAATAGACACTTAGGCTATCGTTAAGAGTTATGAGTTGAGAGAGATGTAGCCTCATGAGGGAGTACGATGATGGTAGGGGTGAGTTACGGGTTTGGTAGAGTGAACACTGATGGCGAGAGGAAGTCTCGTGGCGTACACAGAGAACTCGGTCAAGAGTTTGTGTGCATGGTCCGGTGTTGAAATTCTCTACTATTGTAATTTCTCTACATATATAATAAATCTCTTTTCATCCGTGGATGTAACACTGATTTTGGGTGAACCACGTATATATCTTGTGTTGTGGTTTGAATTATTTTTTCTTTTTTTTTTGCCTTTTGCTTCCGCTGTGTCCCAACAACTGGTATCAGAGCCAAAGGTGAAGGAGATCCAGAAAACACAAGAAGTCTCAACATGTACTACAACGGGCTTCAGTTGTAGGTGAAGTCAATCGGCTTGATTACATGGCATGGAGCTTGAGAAGTTAAGGTAGAGCCTTGGGGTTTGATTGATTGAGCAACGTATAGTGTAATACCCCTAATTTTAAAAGGATAGTCTCGGTATTTATTTATTTATTTTTATTGTATTTTTTTAATTGTTTAATTGATTATTTGACTAATTGTTTATGTGTTTAATTGAATTAAGTGTTACTTGATTAATTGGCTACTTATCTATGTGTTATTTGTATTTTGTCTAGGTGTTATTTGTATTATTTGTTTAATTAGATTGTGTGCTTAAATGATGTATTTGATTAATTGTAATTAATTGTAAATTAAATGATTAAATATTTTATTTTATTTTATTTTATGGTTATGATTAGTGGTAATGAGCTAACTAATTGGGTTCCATGGACTACTTGGATAGGAGGTTGGATGGGTATGGATAATTACCCATGGATAGTTGTATATGTATATATATAGATATATATGTATATACATATATATAAAAAGGAAAGTAATTTATTAATATTATAGTAACTTTAGTATTAATAAATAATCTGATGTATATATTTTATATATTTATATAATAAGGATATACATATATTTTATACGTAACATGTTTTAAGTTACCTTTTTAATATTATGGTAATTTTAGTATAAATAAATAATCTGATGTATATATTTTATTTATTTAATGAGGATATAGATAGATTATATACGTAACATGTTTTAAGTTACCTTTTAATATTATGGTAACTTTAGTATTACTAAATAATCTAATGTATATATTTTATTTAATTAATAAGGATATACATAGATTATATACGTGTGATGACCTTGTGGGCGGGTGTGCCGTGGGCGGGTGCGAGAGACACTGTCAGGCTATGTGATACCCCCGAATTTCCGAATGCGGGTTGGCCAGGCCCACGCCCGAATACCCGAGGATATCAAAACAAATTGATAATAAACGAACACAGAGTACAAAAGAATAAAGAAGAATAAATAAAATGCTGACAAAAAAGAAAATGATAATCTAATAATAAACCTCATAATATATTTCCATTAATTAATAAACTCTTCTGATACAACTGATCCTCCAAAAAACAACTCGGGAATCCATACTGTGTGGACCCCTAGAAAATCCAAACTAAACAAATGACAGTAATCTAAAACAGGAAACTGAATCATAAAGGAACTCCTATGTAGCATCGGAAGAATGAAGTAGACTGATCCCCGCTCAGCACGAACAACCTCTACTCGTGACGAACACCTGAAAAATAATGGTGGGTCAGGCCCACAAACAAGTTCTACTCTACTACAGTCCAAGCAGAGATCCGATACACGTATACATCCTAGTCAATCCAACAGTAACTAATAGTCCGTATATATATATATACACACTAAAGGAACCTCACTAGACTATAGGGTTGTCTCAACCTGAATAGTAGGCAACATGCAAAACGCACATATAGTGGGCATGAGTACCCAGACCTACCAGGGTACACAACTACACTATATCTAGCTACACATCCCTGGCGATATACGCGCCCTAACCATTGATCCTGAGACTCAAGCTCATATCATGGCACCATATTTATATATATAAAATCTAGTAACCATCCTATCCAGTATAAATCAATCCTCCATAAGTCATTCAACTTGTTCAGCTGACCTGACTTGAATATAAGTAGGACTTAACATTTTAGTTAATCCATTCCCTTATATAATAAATTAATCCTCCATAAGTCATTCAACTTGTTCAGCTGACCTGATTTAAATATAAGTAGGACTTAACATTTTAGTTAATCCATTCCCTTATATAAAATAGGTAGGACTTAACTGATAAGTTAATCCATCCC